AACCCTCTATTTTTACTAGTTCACTAGCAGGGTAGTGTTGGGACCACTTTTTCCTTAATTTTTTATTTTATTTTTTAACACTTTTAGGCATTAAGATCCTGAAGGTCATGGTCATCATAGTGAAGCTAAGATTTGTTTTTTTATTTTATTTGTTTATTTTTTAGGCAGTATGTATTTTTTAGTTGGTAGTTTTCTTGAACTCACTGGGCACTGTGTGGGTTGACTTAAGGTTGAGTAATTTATGCCGTAGCTGTTTAATTTGGTGAAAAGCTGGCTATGATCAGAGAACAAACTGTTAGGAAGTGGTCCAGTTGTAAGTTTGCGTGTGTATATAAGTGGAGTATTTTGGGTTCATTCATCTCTTGCCAGTCTTAGTTGTTAAGTAATCTTCTTGCATTCATATTTACATCATCCTCAGAATCTTGCGTTTCTGCCACTCTCATAAAAACTGACTCTGGTTTTTAAGGTAGAGCTTCATGCTTGGAATCAACCAGAAAAAGCCTCATTTATATCTCCTGCAAGAGGAACAGAGGGCCTGCACTGTGTAGTTTCTGCCAGAAGTTTTTATAGTAATACTTTGTATCTAGGCTCTGGCTCTTACCATTAAATGTGCTTTTTATAGAGTACCAAGTTATAAATGTAGTGCAGCTACGGCATATTAATCTTACTGCAGAGATTTAATGAGGCAGTTGTTTTGCGATGGACACTATTGGGAGCAGAGAGCGACAGAGTTTTACTTTACCACTGAGCTGCAGAAATATTCCTTGCCTGGTAATAATTATAACCACATGATCTCTTAGTTTTTCTTTCTTTTGCAAGTGCTTTTCCATGCAAAAGTGGCTTGGAAGGAGGTCCATTTTGAGGCAGCGAAATGGATTGGAAATTGGGCTGTTTTCTCAGTAGTTTGACATTTTAGCTTTGATCAGGCATGGGATCCTTGTTGCACAGAGAGAAATATGTAAGATGAGTTTCAAGAATACAGATAGTCTTTGCCAGTCCACTGAGATGGCTTTTAGATATTCATTACTTTTACTTGACTTTTATATAGGTTATAAAAAGTAAATGTGGTGAAACCTCATTTTTACATGGACAGAATAGAATTTCTGCTGGTTGGCCTTAAACTGATCCCACACTTGAAATTAATTGAAGTCCATGGGTTTATTGCCTCCAACACTTTTAAGCCAGTGCAATTTTTCATTTTCCCCATAGTTGTAATTTTATTAAACCAAGTTATAGCAATAACAATTTTTATGAAGAGGAGGATGAGACAAAGAAAAGAACCACCTGCCAGAGAACATAATCAGGGAAAAGAATGCCTCTTTTAAATTCCTGTTTGTAAGTAATGTTAACAAAATTGGAACCAGAAAGCTGCCACTTACTTTTGTAATAATAGTTGTGCCTGTGTTCCAAAATTCAGCATTTTATCCAGTTAGAATGGTATAAATCCAGTGTCCCATAGCAACCTTTTCAAAGGATGAGGTAGAAAGTTGGTTGAGGAGGTGAGATCATTTGTGTTGAATGCAGCATATTTGGGCAGCATCATTTAGGGCAGGGGGAAAGAGAATAGTGCCTGCAGCTATGACACAGTTTGTGGTTGCAGTGTGGAGAGTATAGGGATATTTGAAAAGATCACCCTTTGCCCTGGGTTTATAGCACAACAATGGAGTTGGAAGAACAATGATCCTTCCTGCAGTGGTGCTGGGGGCAGGGCAGTACTTAGAGGCATGAACCTTGTATTTATAACCCCTTAGGTTGAAGTCAGAGGTTTGAATGGCTAGCAGAGTAATACAATTATTTTTTATGATTGAATCTCAAAGGACTTTATAAAAACTACATCACTAAGGCCATGTGCAATTATTGAAGTGTAGCCACCTGTGGGAAAGAAATGGTTGACAGTGTAAGCTTTTTAGAATCTTCCTACATCAACTGGCATTAGGGATGCAAGCCCCAGCACAAATAAACACATCTTTTGAATGGGCAAAAAAGAATTCTTCGTGAAAGTGGAGGTTGGAAAAATCTTACAAGGAGAGAGACTGAGATTCCAGTACTCATTACACCAAGGCGTCATAGGCTATAATCGAACCCGCCTCCCAGAGGGTCCCTCTTAAGTGTTGACCTAAAAACAAATTCGCCAGTTGGCTGGAGCATGCATCCTAAAGTTGCAGCAGAAGTGAATAAGCTTGACTGGCTTCTGTCCCTGAAGGGTTCTATCTGCAAATGCAGAAGTGGAAGCAAAAACATTTTTTATTAGTCTTAAAATGACCCTCATTTTAATAACTAGCCACAGTCATGGAAGCATGGACGGGGGTCATTCTTCAGCTTTTAAGAGCGAAAGCATCATGCATTCTTCTAGGTTTGTATTTTTGATACTGGATTCATGGAAAGTGTCCATATTCTTGAATAATAAGGAAAGTGAGTTTTTATCATTTTTCTCTGTATAGTACTTAAAGTATTCACAGAGTCTCCTTATTTAAAAACAAACAGGTCTGCAAACTGGATGTGTGGCATTTAAATACTCATATTAAAATTCAGACCTAACATCGACATTTCCCTGAGTGCTATCAGTTTTTTTGAGAAACTGGAAACTTATGCTAAACAACCAAGAGTATTCATGAGTGCATGCTGCTTTCCAATAAGTGTTTTAACGGTGTTGGGGTCAGTTTGCCATAGTTGGGACAGTTATTTATTTTCCTGAATTGCTGTCTAGTTTGGCAGTATTTCACCACTTGTTTTTAGTTTGTTGAAGATCTTTGAATCATTGCCATTTGTTGTATCTGAAGCCCCAGATGAAATATTTGAGAGAAGCAAACCTGAATGTGATGGGTCCTATAGTTTCAGCTTTGGAAACTGTAGGCATGCAAGTGCTTTTTACTTTGGAGGTAACTGGTCTGTTTCTGTTTACAGAAAAAATACCAGTAAAGGACTTTTTAAGGTACTCTCGATTTTTTTCTCCTTCCCCTTCTCACCATCACTAAATAGTATTTACTAAGCACTCACCTGGATACAAAACTGTACTGGGCAAAGTGAAAGACAAATGCAAAAGCTCTGTGATTACTCCCCCCAGGAATGAGCAGTCTAAATCCTGGTATACTGAAATGGGCACTGTGTAGAATGTTGAGATAATAATTTTCCAGATGGCAAATCAACCCAAATTACCAATTTGCCAATTTACCAATTGTGTGTTCTTTTTTGGGGAAAAAAAATTTACTTAAACAGTGTGTTCTTTTTGAAAAAACCCCAACAAACAAAACTATATGCCCTTTGAGATGGGAATTTTGCTTTTTTTAAAAACCCAAGAGCTTATCAGATACATTGTGATATATGTTGATTTTGGCATATGTGAATCATTGGAAGGGTGAAATATAGTTATGTTTATTGCAGACGTGAAGAAAGGCTTTAGAACAACTGCCAGACAAAAAAGGGAGTATAAGTGACTTGTAGAAGAAGCATTCATAGAAACGTGCTATGTGCAAGATAGCAGAAAGCACTCTCAGAGTGGTGCGGTGGTATTTATGGACTTTTCTGAGAAATAATTGGTTAATTTTGATTCTGTGGATTCTTGATTGGAACATTTAATGAAATATTAAAAATATTAAATAGCTGGGCATGGCAGTATGTGCCTGTGGTCCCAACTACTTGGGAGGCTGAGGCAGGAGGATTGCTCGAGACCAGGAGTTGGAGGCTGCAGTGAGCTATGATAGTGCCTATGAATAGCCACTGCACTACTGCTTGGGCAACCTAGTGAGACCCATCTCTAAAAAGCAAAATTTAAAAAATTAAATATATTTATACTTAAATTGCCATATTTATTGTAGCCATTAACAGTAATATTTCAGTCATGTAAAATGTGGCTACAGAAAATGCATTACGTATTTCTTAGGTATCTTGATACAGTTCTTTTGTAACCATTTCATTGACTAGTCAAGGCCTTACAGAAAATAGAAATCTCTAGTTTCATTTTACTATATTTTGAGATCTAGTTTATGACTTTGGAGGACTTTTTGTTACTGGAAATCAGTGACCCATAAATTCAGTCACTGATTGTGTTACCCTATTATCTTAATTTCCCGCAAAGAGATACTCTCCTGCCCCATCCCCACACAGTTCCTTTCTCCCTCCCTCTTTGGGAGGAAATGAGTCAAAGGACAGTAACTAATCAAAAAGCATTTATTGAGCTATAAGTGAAAGCATTCCCCGTGCTTGCTCCCTAATCCCGCAGCCCCACCTCTCCCTGCTGTTTGTGTATCATTTTTAGGGTTAAATGAAACTATTTTTAGTTTTCACAACAATTAGCTTTACAACATTGATAATGCCAACCCAAGTTGTTGACTTTATTATTTATAATTGTTTTTTGTATATCTTATTTCACTTCTTTGGATAATTTTGAAAACAGGAGACATAAATTTACACTTGAGTTTGCGTTTGTCAGAATGTTTTGCTATGTGATAGAGCTTGTTTTGCTATCACTGTCTAACAAAGAATGGAGTAGCTGTGTGTTTTGACCAGTTTATAAGTAAAGGTCAATTTTGTGCCTATGGTAATTAGCTTAGCTTATTCTAGACTTTTGGCTAATTCGGGTAATTCCTCTTGAAAGAGTATATTTAGCAGAAAAAAGAGTTCATTCTTCAGCACAGTGGGTTTTCTTCCTTTTGCATTGGAGGCTTAAATTTTAAAAGTGATTTATCTTTCTCTTTTAAGCAAAAACTAAAAGGCTGTGAAAAATGGCAAAGTCAGTCTTAAGAGTGGGCAAGTGATTTGATGGGAGAGATAGGAAAAGGGCTACATGGTGGGGAAAAGGAAGAAGTCCTTTGATAATCACTAACTGAATAATTTTAGGAGAGACTCACTTTTGATTTTCCTGTAATAAAATCTGCATTGAAGCCCTCCTGTTGTAACTTCAAGGAAAACGGTGTTTCTGTTTTTGGTAGCAAGAAGATTAAAAGTTACTTTAAAAGAACCTGTCTTTAAACCCCATACTTACAGTGTTGATTTTCTTTCAGACCCCAACTGTAAACTTGAAGACAAGACTGAAGATGGAGAGGCACTAGATTGTAAGAAGAGGCCGGAAGACGGGGAGGAGTTGGAAGACGAAGCTGTGCACAGCTGCGACAGCTGCCTCCAGGTGTTTGAATCGCTGAGCGATATCACAGAACACAAGATTAATCAATGTCAACTGACAGGTAAACAATACTTACCACTTTTTTGTCTTCTTGTACTGTTCTATTTCTGATTTTTTCAGTTTGTTCCTTTATGTGTTTTTCTCCTCTAATTATTTTATTCTTATACCTAGCTAAGTCTAGAGGCGCTTTTGAGTGAATTCTGAGATGGTTGTTTGGGGTAACCTCAGTGTCACAACCCTCTTAGATTTTGAAATGCACCTAGATGTTAATAGCTAATGGGTGTATTTTGTAACCTCAGTGTCACAGCCCTCTTAGATTTTGAAAGGCACCTAGGTGTTAATGGCTAGGGTGTATTTTCTTTTTTAATTTCTTTTTTACATGATGCCATGTAGGAGCAGAACATGAATATTGGATGACTAATATAATATTTTTAAAATCCTTTGAATATCTTTTCAAAGACAGCATGGGAAATTAACATATGTTAGCTTAGACATTATTTCCTGAAGGAAACCTTTCCTGATTTCCCTCTGTCTGAGTTAGCCACATTTTTTGTGTTCCCATAAAGTCCAGTACTTACTCTTGGGCACCACAGTTCTCACTGGGTATGTTCACTTTTCCATCTCACTCATTAGACTGAAAACTGATTAATGACTGAAACTGTGTCTTATTTATTCTCAAATTATCTGAGCCTAACACAATACCTGGCCCATAGCAGGTATTGTGGCTCATTATGGCTGGCAAGCTATTCTGCTGTGCAGTTCCTTGGAAGAGTCAGATTTAAAGTAACATATTGCATAGCATGTTCGATGTAATGACTAAGTAAAGCTGAGACTCAGCTTACCAAATATTTACTCCCTTTAAATATATCCTACAGGAATGCATTATAGGAGCCTGCGTAGGGCATTTTAGATAGATGTCTGTAAGATACACATCATTTACTCCTATTTGAAGCTGACACCACTCCTATGTGTGTGTATGCGTGCGTCTCTCTCTGCCTCTTATTTTCCCAGCACAAATCTTTCTTCAGTTAAGGAAGTATAGGAAATGTGTTTATTGGACAAGTGGTTCTCTGACTGTTTTCCACTGCGTATTCATATTTTTATAAGATTTTAAAGTGTGTTCTATTTTAACAAGGTTTTCTGAATAGATTATTGTGGAATGTTGGATTAAATCCGTTAAATAGGATTCTTTATTGAAAGTGCATTGTGGCTCTTCTCTTTAGAAAGGGATTATAGTGAGCAAGTTTATCAGGCTCCAGAATCATCTTTCTTTTGGAAAACCCATAAACATTTTCTGGAACAGAAGTTTGAGAATCCATGTTGCTTATATAAATATTGGCCATACACATATATTTTACAGTTTATATATGCTTTTAGGGAGCAACTTTTATTTTCATACAATTCCAAACTTATAGAAAAAAATTAGAAAAGTAATACAAGGAACCTGCATATCATTTACCTGATTAACCAGTTGCTTACATTTTTTGTCATTTACTTTATTCTGTTTCTCTCTCACCTTTAGCAGTTTCTTTCTAAATCATTTGAGAGAAAGTGGGAGACATCACACCTCTATAAATATATCCTGTGTATTTCTGAAGAACAGATCTCTTCTCTTACATATCTATGGTATACTTACCGAAACTGAGAAAGTTAATCTTTTGGCCGGGTGCAGTGGCTCACACCTATAATCCCAGCACTTTGGGAGGCTGAGGCAGGTGGATCACCTGAGGTCAGGAGTTCGAGACCAGCCTGACCAATGTGGTGAAACCTCATCTCTACTCAAAATACAAAATTAGCTGAATGTGGTGGTACATGCCTATAATCCCAGCTACTTGGGAGTCTGAGGCAGGATAATTGCTTGAACCTGGGAGGCGGAGGTTACAGTGAGCTGAGATTGCACCATTGCACTCCAGCCTGGGCAACGAGAGAAATTCTGTCTCAGAGAAAAAACGAAGAAAGTTAACTGTTAACACAAATAGTACTATCTAATTCACAATCCATATTTAAATTTCAACAGTTGTCTTAATAATGTCCTTGGTAGCTATTTTTTCTCCTCCTCCAGGATTCAGGATCATGCATAACATTTAATTGTCATCTCTTTTACCTCTTAACCTGGAATGTTATCTTACCCTTTCTTTGTCTTTCCTGACCATGGCATGTTTGAAGAGAAGCTGACTGTTAGTTTACAGAATGCTCATCCATTTGGGTTTGTTTGATGTCTCCCAAGGATTAAATTCAGGTTTCATAGGCTCCTGTAGTATTCAGGCTCCTATAGTAGGAGCAATAAAGAAGTGATATTGCACCCTCTCAGTGCATCAGATCAGGAAGTACATGATGTTAGTTGGTTACAGTGGTGATGATGTTAACATTGAATATTTGTTTAAGGTGGTATCTGCTAACAGTTTTCATTATAAAGTTACCATTTCTCTTTGTATATGGTTAGTAATTTGTGGGAGGATAACTTTGATCATACTATATAAATATCCACATTTTCATAAAATGTTTACCAACTGTTTCTTTTTTTTTCTGAGATAAGAGTCTTGCTCTGTTGCCCAGGCTGGACTGCATTGGCCCGATCTCGGCTCACTGCAAACTCCACCGACCTGGGTTCAAGTGATTCTCTCGCCTTAGCCTCTCGAGTAGCAGGGACTACAGGTCCGCACCACCACGCCCAGCTAATTTTTTGTACTTTTTAGTAGAGACAGGGTTTCACCATGTTGGCAAGGCTGGTCTCAAACTCCTGGCCTCAAGTGATTCTCCCACCTCAGCCTCCAAAAGTGTTGGGATTACAGGCATGAACCACCACGCCCAGCTCACTATTTTTATGTCTATTGCAAGTTCATACTTTGTCTGTTTGTTAACCTATTGTAATATTCTTTCTTATTTATTTGTATATTCATGTTACTGTCATCTTTTAGGTTTTGATTTTATTCAGTGGGTCATAATTCATTACTCTCATTGTATTGATACCCAGATTGCTATAGATTTAGCCAATGGGAGTCCCTTCAAACAGGATCCTGAATGTGTTTAATATACCTTCGTCATTATTTGAGAACTTTAGTTTCTGTTGCAAATAGATGCTCCAAAATTATCGTGGTCTTTTGTTGTCCTAGTCCTTCAATCAGCCAGTGTGTTTTTTCTTTTTTCTTTCTTTCTTTTTTTTTTTTTTAAAGGAGTCCTGGTTCTTAATGAGGACAAGGGTATTTAGAAACCAAGATATGGATACTATGTATGCTTAATACTATAGGTATACCATTACTTAAAGACCTCTCAGTAGACAGAAGTAGGAAATATACATGCATACTTTTTTTTTTTTTTCCCCCTTGAGACGGAGTCTGTCACCCAGGCTGGAGTGCAGTGGCATGATCCCGGCTCACTGCAACCTTCACCTACTGAGTTCAGGCAATTCTCTGCCTCAGCCTTTCGAGTAGCTGGGATTACAGGCGCCCACCACCACGCCCGGCTAATTTTTGTATTTTTAGTAGAGACAGGGTTTCACCATCTTGGCCAGGCTGGTCTTGAACTCCTAACCTCATGATCCACCCTCCTGGGCCTCCCAAATTGCTGGGATTACAGTGTGAGCCACCATGCCCAGCCCATGCATACTTAATACACATATAATATAGTTCATAAAAAAATTCACACATATGCAAGTATATACACATATGTGTACGTTTCTTTATTCAGTAAAAACCATATGTTCATTTTGATACCTCTCATTCAATTCAGTACCTCAGATACATCCTAGTCTTTTTCCTTTCTGTATTTGTTACTGCCTTCCTTAACAGAGAGGAACCTGGCTTCCATTATTCTTATTAATATGTTCACTCAGTTTCTTGAGGCTGGGATATACAGTAAGTAGTTTCAAAATTGCTTACTTATATCACCATGATAGGCAAACTGAGTTTAATATTTGTTTATGATTATTAATGCTGTACTTTTTAGTGCACCATTTACATACGGTGAAATTCATAAATTATAAGTATACAGTTTGGTGAATTTTGACAAAGTCAATACACACATGTGACATACCCTTCTTAAGATATCATTTCTTTCATCCTGGAAAGTTCCCTCACACTTCATCAGATGAATAATGCTCCACTAGAAGTCATCAGTTTTTGAGTCGTTTTAACCATAGATTGATTTTGCCTATTCTAGAACTTCTTATAAATGAAATTATATGGCATGCACCCTTTTTTTGTGTGTCCAGCTTCTTTTGTTCGGTATAATGTCTATGAGATCCATTCATATTGTTGTGTAAGTAGTGTGTTTCTTTGTATTGCTATGTAGTATTCCATTATATGAATATATCATAATTTGTTTTCCATTCTCTTGTCAAAGGATACTTTATTTTTAGTTTTTGAATATCATGAATAAAGTTTTAGTTAACCTTCTCTATGGATCCTTTTGTGGACATATGTTTTATTTCTATCATTAGGAGCAGAATTGCTGGGTCATTGGGTGAAGGGCATGAGATAGGAGATGTTTAGTCGTTATTAGAAACGTCCAAACTCTTTTTCAAAGTGATTGTACCATTTACACTCCTACCAGCAATAGATGAGAGTTCTGGTTGTACATGGTTGCTAACACTTGTATTGTCTGTCTTTAATTTTGACATTCTGTTGGTTACTTATTGGTATTTTTTGTGGATTTTCTGGTTCATGTCTATTTAATTGACTTCATTTAAGTTGTATTTTTCCCAGAACATACCATTTTTGGAAAGTCCCATTAAATGCAGATAATTAGTAAGATACCATTTTCAGTAGAATAACTGGTGCTTTAAACAAAGCTTTGCCTATGTAGAATCAGCACTAATATCAGTATAAAGACATGGGAACTTCAGCATACTCACTGGACTGACATGGCAGTGTACTTTAATCTAGCAAGAAATCCTCTCTTTTGGTAAAAGTTATTTAAAACTTTTAAAAAAACTTTTAATAATTTTAAAAGTTATTTTAAAATTCATATAATTTAGAAAACAAACTTCAAGTTCTACTTAGTGAGTGGTTAATTTTTCCTGCCCTATAGTTATTCTAATGTTCAGCTCTATGAAATTGAATC